AGGAAAAGGTGTTTCAGTTGAAAAGTGAACTGTATAGACTCAGTGCAAAGCATTGTTTTTGCATGACAGCATTTATATGTTTGCCTTTTACCTACATCATACCTTCCACAGTTTAACCTTCTAGTTAGAAGTTGTATGATATTTATTGACTTAAATTCCCTGTCAAAAGATGGTTAGTAATTTCAGGGTCTTGTAGTACTGCTAGAAAGCATCCCATCAAAGATGGCCATTAACTAGTAACACTGCCTGCAGTGTTAGAGTTGAGAGGAATATGCTGAAGAACATCTTTTTCAGTGTAATCCAGGAAGGTCTTTCCTTACAGGTCAGGATTTTACAGAGACAGCAAAAAATAAACAGTGGGATATAAAGGCATCCTCAACCTAGTGTTGTCAGTGCACTAGAGTTTGGTAAGCTGGGGAAATCATTTTCTCCTTAGAGAACTTGTCTTAACTTGTTTGAACCTGTGAACAATATATTTTGGCTCTATTTGTCTCTCGCGAACATTCTCAAACTATGACCCTCAAATAGATCTCTTCCTTCCTGAGATTGTTTTTACTGAGCATCTGCGGTGGTTGGCATGAAGTGCTGAAGAGTTCATGCAGCACCAGGTTACTTTGCTGATGAACACTTTGCCCATGGTGCCCACTATAAGTGAAATTAATTAGACTTCTGCCATCCCAGTCAATTTCCCTCCCAGCAGGTTGTCTGGTTAGAGCTTCTAAGAGCTGAGATTGACTCTTCAGTTCTTCTAGGTGCTGGGTTGGGCATTTAAAAAAAAGAAAAAAAAAAAGATCAAAGAAAGAGTTGGTTGTAAAACAAGTCAAAAGTAAAAAAAAGAAAGAAAAAAAGAAAAAAGAAAATAAAGAAAAAAAACCACATATTTTCCCAATCTCAATAAAATAGTCTTTCTTTATGCCTAGTCATAATGGAGTAATAATCAGTAAATAGAAACTAAGAAATTAAATAACAGAATAGCATTAGAAAAAAGATGTTTTTTTCCTAGACTTTTAAAATTTGTAGTTGTTAAAGTAATGGGTATTAAAACTGGGACTAAGCAAGCCTTCTACCACTTAGCTCCATCTCCAGCCCTATAAATTATTGTTAGATGAATTTGAAGGTTTAAAAAGAGAACTTCAAAATAAGCTCAGATCCGTATTTTGTGATGACTCAATGTGGAGGATAGCCTCAACACACGCCTCACGAGCCAGGTTTTAAGCTCTTAACTCACGTGTAAAATTCACATCTTCATTGCTGCATTGCCCAAAAGTAGGAAATCTTTAACTTTTTTCTTGGTAGCAATGATAACTGGGATTTGTAAAACTGCCTAAGATATATTAACTTGTTACTAGACAAATAAGCCTGTGAGAGTGGGTCTCATGACTTGCACAAGCCCACGGTGAACGCAGTTGTTTGGAACAGCATGCCATGTGTGTAAGACAACTAACTTCGTCTATGATGGCAGATGATGCTTTAGTTATAAATGCTTCTAGGGCAGTGTTATGACCAATGGAACATTTAGTTACATTTATTCTGGATAAGTACAGATAGATATATCTTATTAATCCTACCAGTGCTATTTAAGCAAATGATTGTGAGTTGAGTTACTATTGAATAATTTTACTATTATTCATTTATACCATCACACAAACCGAAAAAGTACTTGGGAGACAGTTCAGGTGATAAACGTGCCATGTAAACATGAAGATCTGAGTTCTGATCCCAGCACCCATAAAAAACTACACACTGTAATAGTGCAAAGAATTATAGCAAAGAGGTAAAGGAAAATAATGAGCTTAAAACTAATGTAGAGTAGAATGTGTGTTTAAATATAAACAAAGCTTGTAGACTAGGAATGTAAACCTGTCATTTTAGGAGATGAGTCAAAGACTTTGTCTTAGATCTTCCAGGTAGCCAGGCAGAAAGGAAAGACAGCACCATACTGGTGAGATAGCTCAGGAGGTGAAGTGCGTAGTCTGCGAGCCTGACTACCTGGGTTCAATCCCTGCAATCCATGTAAAGGGAAGAAGAGTAAACTGACTCTAAAGAGTTGTCCTCTAACTTACACATGCATACGATGGCTTGTGCTCTCTCACACACACACACATACCCACGCACATATGTAATAAACACACATACTATCATTATCATTTTAAAAATTATTTAAGTCAGACTGTTCAAAGAATAGTAGATACTCAAGCACCTGTTATCTCTAACTGAGATTTGTATTGTTTTATTTACTTCCTAGCACCCTTATTTTAAAGCAGATATCAGAGGGCCTGGAGAGATGGTTCAGTGCTTAGTAGCACTGGCTGCTCTTCCAGAGGACCCGGGTTCAATTACCAGCACCTACATAGCAATTCATAACTGTTGTAATTCCAGTTCAAGGGATCTGATGTCCTTCCTCTTCAGGCCTTGGGCACCAGGCACATGTGTGTGCACATGTGTATATACAAACAAAACGCCTACTTACATACAATAAAAATAAATCTTTAAGAACAAAAACATAAGAGACAAAGTGTCTTCTTTTCAAATTTCATTTCCCCATGAAACTGGTAACAAATTGCTATGTTTCTCTTATTCTTATTTTGCTTCTACAGTATGCTTTTATCTATACCAGTACTTATATTTGTAGAAATAATGAACTACACTTATCTTTCAAAAACTTGTTCTTTTCATTGGCACTGTGTTTGGAGACCACAGTCTTACAGAATCTAGTTATTATTTTAAACACTAAAACTCATTTTTCATTATGGAAATAACCCAGTTTACTTACCTGTTATTACTAAAGGGCTTTTAATTTGTTTCTAGTTTTTCACTGTTACAGTGTCACACTGACACTGTAGCCCATGTCTTGTGCATTAGTGCTTCTCTAGGGCAGTAGTTCTCACCATGGTCCCAGAACTAGCTCAGCAGGATCACCTGGGACCTTGCTAGAAGTGCACTCCTGGGCCCATCTCAAGCTGTTGAATCAGAAGCCTAGGGGGTAAGACCAACATTCTTCTAAAGAGGTAATTCTGTGACTTCCAAACTTGGCAAGCCCCGCTGTAGTGCACATTCTATTCAAAGCGGGAGTACTAAGTTCTGTGGTTTTAAACTTTGTTAGATATGACCATTCCTACATTCACAGTATATGTCTCGTTTTAGTGTCTCACCAAAAGTGGAACGGAGTTTCTTTATCTACCCTGTATATCTCTGCAACTTTGCATCTTTTGACTTAATTGTTTTTTGTTGTTGTTGTTTTGTTTTGTTTTGGTTTGGTTTGGTTTTTGAGAGACAGGTTCTCAGTTCTGGCTGGCCTAGAACTCTCTATGTAGACCAAGCTAGTCTTGAACTCACAGAGATCTGCTTCTGAATTTCAAGTGCTGGGATATAGGCATGTCCTAACACTCCTGGCCTTACATTTTAAATAATTTTATTATATTTATGTTATTTATTTTGTGGGGATATCATGCATGTACCATGGCACGCATGTAGTACAAGGATAATTTATAGGACTTAGTTATTTCCTTCTACCTTGTGAATTCTAGGACTTAAACTCAGGTCAATAGGCTTGATGGCAAGCACCTTTATCCGCTGAGCCATCACACTGGTCCATGACCTAATTTATAAAAATAGTTTTGAGTTGGATTTATTAGTGGTACATCCCATCAAGATGTATAGCAGCTGTTTGAAAGGGGCCTGGGGCTATAGAAGAGGTGTAAGTTTAAGAGACTTGAGAATGTTTGTGTACTGGCAGAAATTTGATACTGTTGAAATGATTGGTTGCCATAAGAATGTAAATTGGGAAAATGATTGAAAATTAAGCCATGGGGAATAACAGTAAAAGAAAAAAAAAAACCCAATAAAAGAAATTGAAGAAGGCCAGATATAGTGGCACATACCTTTAATACCAGTACCCAGGAGGCAGCGGGCAGATGGATCTCTTAAGTTTCAAGTAGTCTGATCTACAAAGTGAGTTCCAGGCTAGCCAGAGCTACATAATAGATTCTGTTGGGGGTGGGGGGTGGGGATTGAGGTTGGGGAGTGATTAGCAGAAAAAGCAAGAAAAAAATCTAGAAAGTCAGGTGAAAATTTAACGTGATGTTGTAGAGAAAGGAGCACATCTAAGGGAGGTGTAAAAATGTTGCCCTTTAAGAGAGCAGCTGGCAGAGAAGATGAACAGAAGGCTGTTCTTAAGTTTGCAGTGAAGCACAGGCAATCAGGAAAATTGGAGGGTAAGGTACCAAGGTCATTTTCCACTGGAGCAGAGCATTTGTGTCCTAAGGAAAGGTTTTGGTGGCAAGGAGGTATCTAGTGCTAGCCATGTTGACTTTGTCAAACAGCTTTTCAGAGATGTGCTTTAATGCACCCTTTGATCACGTGTGTCTGTTTCTTTTGTTGTTTTGTTTCGCTGTACAGTACATGTTGGCTTGAAATTGACTGTGTAGACGAGGTTGGCCTCCAATTCAAGAGCTACACCAGCTTCTGTTTCTAGTGTTGGGATGAAAGTTGTATATGACATCCTTCCCAGCAGTTTTTAAAGATAATGTTGAGCATTGTGCAGAAGAGTAATGGAGTTTTATTTTTTTATTTAGTTCATTCATTTATTTGAGACAGGGTCTCATGTAGCCCTGACTGGCCTGAAACTTGATGTACAGTTTCTAATTCACAGAGATCTACCTGCTTCTGCCTCCTGAGTGCTGATATTAAAGATGTAAGCCACCGTCCTTGAATAATAATGTAATTTTGCCTAGGAGACTACATGGTCTTCTCTGAAGTTAATATTTAAATCAGGATAGAACATTTCAGACAGACCACGAAGTTTCCAGATTCTTAGAAGATCAAACAAATAATAGGATACTAAGGAAGAGGGGAAGGACTGGGGAGACTGGGAGGAGTAGAGAGAGATGAAACTGAGGTCAGGATGTATTATATGAGAGAAGAATAATAAAAATTCAGATTAACATTAAAAAATCAGTTAAAAAAGAGGCTAATAAATCTTAATTCTTGGATCTTACCAGGGTGAAGAAAAACCAGAAATCTCTGCTCCCTGACTTTGAAAACCCAGTTTAACCTTCAAACTGGCGATGTCAAGGGTTCCAAGTCCTCCACCTCCGGCAGAAATGTCGAGTGGTCCCGTGGCTGAGAGCTGGTGCTATACACAGGTAAGTTCAAGTTTTCACTAGTGGACAAAAGCAACATAATCACTTTTCAACTTTGGGTTTCCTAGTTTCTCAGGGGCCAAAAAGCACAAGATGAGGTCCTTATTAGCCTTGCATTTCTTATTTTCTTTACATAGAGTCTAAATCCCCAAGGCTAATGCTTTTCTATGGTGATTCAAGGGGGAATCTTTAGCTAGATTTTTTTTTTTTTTTTTTTTTTTTTGGTTTTGGTTTTGCAACAGGGTTTCTCTGTATAACAGCTCTGGCTGTCCTGGAACTTGATTTGTAGACCAGGCTGGCCTTGAACTCACAGAGAAAATTTTGTCTAGATTCTTTACACCCTCCTTGATAGGTATGTGTTCTAAAGCTCAGAGCAGTGTTTGAGATTCACAGTCCCCGGAATGGCATCAGCATGTCAATTATGGACTCTTTTTGGACCACAAAGCTTCAGACTTTACCTACCCTGTCTTTGTATTGTTGTTATTGTTGCTGTTCTTTCCTTGACTGTGTTTTTCTCATTTCCAACCAGTGTTTTCAAAAGTTGAAAGTGTTATAAAAGCAGGTCAGAGATTTCTCTCATGTAGACAAGGGACTGCTTGAACTGCAGTCTTCTGTGGGGATAAGGGAGGGGTGCTTGTCTGATCTTCAACCTGTTTTTTCCAGGTTCCCCACATCTTATTTAATTCCTTCCTAATTTTCTGTCAACAGATCAAGGTAGTGAAATTCTCCTACATGTGGACCATCAATAACTTTAGTTTTTGCCGGGAGGAAATGGGTGAAGTCATAAAAAGTTCAACTTTTTCATCAGGAGCCAATGATAAACTGAAATGGTGAGGAAGAACCCCCTCTAGTTGTAAACTTGTTCCATAAGTTGCCTGGTTTGCTTGGTTTGAATAGGATATGGGCAGAATGTAAGTTCTTAAAGACACAGATTTTACTTTTGTTGTCCCATTGCCTATAATAGTGTCAGACACAGTAGGTACTCAACTACAAGTGTTTGAAATAATTTGATGAGTTTATTACAATTTAGCAAACTCAAGTTGTATAGGGTAAATGAGTAAAGAGTGTCAGTGTTACCAGAAGACCCGAATTTGATCCCTGGGGCCCACATGGTGGAAGGAAAAGAACTGATTTCTGCAAGTTGTCCTCTGACTTTCACACTAGAACCACGACACTCATGGGCCCACGGATACAGACACACATAAGAAATTAGGGACTGGAGAGATGGCCCAGCAGTTAAGAGCACTGGCTGTTCTTCCAGAGGTCCTGAGTGCAATTCCCAGCAACTACATGGTTGCTCACAACCATCTGTAATGAGATCTGATGCCCTCTTCTGGCGTGCAGACATACATGCGGGCAGAATACTATATATAATAAATTTTAAAAAAAGAAATTAATAAGTGTAATTTAAAATTGTTAAAGGTTTGTAGAAGGTTGGTGGTGTAGCTAAGTGACAGAGTGCTCAGCTAGCATGTGGAGGTTCTAGGATTAGTTCTTGGCACTTCAGTAAGTATATGAAGGACTAGTAGTCACCCAGCTCAGCTAACTAGAGCTTTGTTTGGAGAAGGGCCAACTATCACCAGATTTTCTGGTTTTTTTAGAAAGCAGCAAGTCTAGTTTTTGTGGGGTTTTTTTGTTTGTTGGTTTGGAGATGCGATCTCACTAAGAAGTGTTAGCTGGCCTGGAACTCAGCGTGAAGACCAGGCTGACCTTAAACTCAAAACAAAGATTCACCTGCCTCTGCTTCTTGAGTGTTGAGATTAAAGGTATGTGTCATCACATGCAGCAACAAATCTAAAGTTTTTAACATAAAATCTTGACTTGACTTTTAAATTACCTGCACATACATGAAGACTTAGATTCCATCCCCAGAACTCATAAACTGGACATGGTGGTAGATCCCTGAAATCCCACTGCTCAGAGGTAGAGACGTTCTCTACCTCTCATAAAAGTTCAAGATTAGGCTGGGTATGGCGACACACACCGTTCATCCCCGCACTCAGGAGGCAGAGGCAGATGAATCTCTGAATTCCAGGCCATCCTAGTCTGCATAGCAAGTTTCAGGCTAGCCAGGATTACATGCTGAGACTTTCTCAAAAAAGGAACAGGGCAGTGGTTCAAGGTCATCCTTATTTGGCTTTGTAACTGGCAGGGTGGAGATAAATTTTATCCAGGAGGCACATTGTTACATGGCAGACTTCATTTCCTCTACTCACGTTCCATGCTATACATGTCTTAAGTGTAGCTTCCCTGTGCGTAAAGTAACAATGGGTATATCTACCACGTGCCAACAAGTCTTTGAGCTTTTTCTGAATTTACTGTATAGTCAATAGTATGTTGTTCATGTTCTGAATGGATTAAGTTTGGGGTTCCTGAACTAAATAGTGTCTATTGCAAGGTGACTATCATCTGGGAGTGAGGATGAGTGCCATCTTGAGAAATAGGAGCAAGTAGTTAAGGACACAACCAACCATATGTCCCCAGCAAAAATCAGAACATTTTTGTTTCTGAACTTCCACTTTGGGCTGGAGAGATGGCTCAGAGGTTAGGAGCACTGACTTTCCTTCCAGAGGTCCTGAGTTAAATTCCCAGAAACCACATGGTGGCTCACAACCATCTGTAATGAGATCTGGTGCCCTGTTCTGGAGTGTAGGCACACATGCAGCCAGAACATTGTATACATATAAATAAATAAATCTTTAAAAAAAATAAAAAATAAAAAAAGAACTTCCACTTTGATCTCTGATAACCCACTGAAGAGTTTATTAATTTAATATTTACTTACTTTGTACATTAAACTGTAGACTAACTATTGAGTGAAATGTTTATCCTAGGCATTATATTTAACCTCTCTAGCATACTGTATAGTGGTATATTTGGCATCTGTACTCCCTAGAGAGGCACTGGATTAGACCACCTGTTTGAGAAAGGTGACATAACCCTGGCAAGGCCTGAAGATACATGTGGCTTGTGTATGCTGTGTGGTAGAGCAATGTCTGAACTCCATACATTTCAGCTAATGACATTTACAATTTAACTCAGTTGAACCTATTAAGTTTTGTCTAGATTCTGTTTTGAATCATCCTTAACAGATTGGCATCTCAAACTCTTATTTAGAAGCCAAGCTTAGAATATTCCCCTATCAAATAAGCGTTTACTTTTATCTGTGCTTCTTCCACAATACCTCTGTTATTTTAACTCTTAAAATATAATTGCTGAAGGCTAGAGAAATGGTTCAGCAAGTAAGAATACTTGCTGCTCTTACAGAGGATCTGAGTTTAGTTCCTAGCATACACATTGGATGGCTCACAACCACCCGACTCCAGCTCCAAAGGGATCCCATGTCCCATGTCTTTGACCTCCACAGGCATGTCTCACACACACTCACACTCATGATAAAATATCTATAAAAAAAGTATGTATCATCCAGACATGGTGACACATACCTTTAATTCCAAAAGCAAAAGCAGGTGGATCTCAGAGTTCAAGGCCAGCCTGGCCAATAGAGCGAGTTCCAGGACAGCCAAGGCTGTTAAACAGAGAAACCCTGTTTAGAAAAGCAAACAAATATAAAAGAGTATGTACTGTGTGCATACTTCTCCAGAATACATTTTTCTCTCACAGGGTTACTAAATGGCTCTCAACTTTTTAAAAAAGTATTTCCCCATGAGAAACTGAGGACTATCTTTTCTGGGATTAAAGACTGAAAAAACAGAGTAGTCTGAGAAACTTTTTAAATGTTTTAGGCTGAGATAGGTGAATGATTTGACGATTATAAAGGAAATGGCAGAGATGTAAGAGATGTGAATGCTTTTTTATTTTTGTCTAATTTTTAAAAGCTGATCCAAATTGGTGTAAAAAATATTGTTTTCAAGTTTCTGTTGACTCCGTCTCCTGGTAAGGGACTTAGACTCTAAAAAACAAAACCTGAACAACAACAGCAACAGAATCACTTCTTCCCCTCTCTGGATTCTGATGTCTCCTGCTAGACTTCAGGAGCCATAAGGCTTTTAATCCACATTTGTTTCTGTGTTGGGCAGGTGTTTGCGAGTAAACCCAAAAGGGTTAGATGAAGAAAGCAAAGATTACCTGTCACTTTACCTGTTATTGGTTAGCTGTCCAAAGAGTGAAGTTCGGGCAAAGTTCAAGTTCTCCATCCTGAATGCCAAGGGAGAAGAAACCAAAGCTATGGGTAAATGTTTCTCTACTTTCACATCCAGTAACTTCATACATTGATAAGTTGTGAATTTGAGCTGGTCTTTGAGTACTTCTAAATATGACTCTCTTTTTCATTCCAGAGAGTCAGCGAGCTTATAGGTTCGTGCAAGGCAAAGACTGGGGATTCAAAAAATTCATTCGTAGAGACTTTCTCTTGGACGAGGCCAATGGGCTTCTCCCTGATGACAAGCTCACCCTCTTCTGTGAGGTGAGTCCTTTTGCCCTGCTTTGAGACTGGCAATTCCCTGACCTGATGTGTATTGGTAGACTTAATTGTATTGTGTCAAGGATGTGAAATGAGAAAAATCCCCAAGGGGAGTGGTTCTGTACAAATGTTATTTATGTGACTGATTGAACTGCCTTATGATTTCAAGGTTGTTGGGCACCTGGGCTCTCTACTTGTTACTGTTCATAAGAACGAAGATTGTATCTGTCAGCTTTGAGTTGCTTGAGTCAGGATCTTCTTTCTTTCTTTCTTTCTTTCTTTCTTTCTTTCTTTCTTTCCTTTTTATTTTTTCTTTTCTTTTTGTGTGTGTGTGAGGGGGGCAGTTCAAATAGTATTTAGAAAAGCTAACACTTCAGGCTGAGCAGTGGCTAGCAACTGCAACTAAATTTGTGTTTCTGTTGCTTAAACTCTCTGGTTGCTTCTTGGGTGGCAAGTGTTTGGCTGGGTTGTTCTCCTTTTCTACTCTTTGGACTAGGTGACTACTTGGAGGAGCTGAGTGTTAATGATTTGTCTTGCTGGGATCGTTATGAAGTAGGAAAGGGAGGGGCTACTTTTTCTAGGATGAAAACTGGAAACTGGTAGCTTAGAAGGGGAGAGTCAGATGTCATCATATTGAAGGGTCAGTGTCTCTCACCAGTGGCCTAAGAGCCTTTGGAGAAGCTTAGAAAAATTTCTTGACCCAAGATCCAATTGAAAAGGGCTTATTAAAATGGGTACAGTATATTGTAATGAGACATTTCCTGCCATTTTCCATACATGGAGAAATGCAAGAAACTTGGGGTAAATAAATAAAAATTCTATCTATTAAACTGGAGTATTAATGTCCCTGTATATCTCATAGTCAGGGAACTACTTCCTGAGAGTGAAGCAAATGGTTTTGTACTTTCATGAGGCAGAGTTCAGGCAAGTGTCGCAATTGCCAGCTAGCTCATCAAGTAATAGGCTTGTATTGTGTGTTAATGACTGTTTCAAAGGCATATCACACTGTGTAGTCCAGGAACTTGTCCCTTAGGACTCTTGCCCTTTAGTGAAACATGGCCAGTAGTAGCAGGCTTGTGGATTATAACAAATAATTGCTAATGATTAGAAAACTTTGTATACTGAAAAGGTAAAATTTAGTTTGTATAATAGCCATTCCCTCTCCATTTTAATTCTAGAGTAACTGAAAGAAATTGTAGAGTATCAGCATCTGAATAAATAAGTAAAGAGTGGCAGTTTATGTTTAATGAATTTGAAATGTGAATTTCATGTAAGTCTTGCTAGTTGCAGGTCACACTTGTTTGCCTGAGTAGAACAATAAGAATTAACTATGGCTTTGTTTGAGGTTAGATGTTGTATAAACAGCATCGGTTTCAGTCTTTGCCTGTTGTCTGTCCTAGAAATTTGTGGGGGGTTTTTTTGTTTGTTTGTTTGTTTTACCGCTTTGGTTTTTTAAAAGCAGCTCTGTCTAGCCCAGGCTGGCCTCAAGATCACTCCTATCATTATGCTTAACCTCCTGAGTGCTGAAGATTTGTATTTAAAAAACAAAACAAAAAAACAAACAAACAAACAAAAAACCCCTTAAGATAGTTGAAAATTCTAATTTTATTGAAAATGAAAGCCAGTCTTGAAGCTTCTTTCTGAAGAGAATCTTCTCTAAATATTACCGCTGGCATTTTAGGCAGTACCGTGACTTGTATTGTAGCATTTTCAAGTCTACAGTGGGTCCATCCTTTCCTGGTGTCCCCATACTATTCCAGCTGCTCTGACCCCTGGATTGTGATCTGTGATTTGGAAACTGTTTGGCCTGCCCTCACTTGGTTACTCTTATCCTATGGTTAGGGCTGAGGCTGAGTTCCAGCATTCTTTTTTCACTTCCCCATATGAAATTCTCTTAGGAGAAATCCTGTGGTTAAGTTTAGATTTGCCTTACTGACTTAGAAGGGAAGTGCGATGACACGTTGGAAATGAGGAGATGTTGAACGGGGAAACGTCTGCTGGGTTCTGCTGATGCCGTGGTTTCTCGCCATAGAACCAGGTGTGCCATCTGTTCCTCTCACACTTCCCAGTTGGCCACAGGTGCTGAGTGTTGCTTCTCGTACTTGGTCTTGTGCCTAGTGAGACTCGTTCCTGTTCCAAGGCTCTCTGTGGACTTAGTAGCATTCAACACTGCAAGACGGTTGCGTGGGGGTGTGTATTGGATATGTGGGTTTTTAAAATGTCTGCAATTCATCCAAGTTCTTAGCACTTTTCACAGCTAGACCATTTTCCTTGTAAGTCCTATTCCTTTGACCTGTTTCTCTTGTATCAGTGGAATACTTATAAGCAAGTTTATTTTAATTCCTGTTTATATTTTATGTTCTATTGTTTTTCTTATTTTCTAATTATTTAGAGGTTTTTAATGAAAGGATATCCATATGGAATTTAGTCACAAGTACACACTATGCTGCATTGCTCCCACAGTCTACACCCAGATACTTCTTTGCTCTCCTGATGTGCACTCAAGTGCAGTTAATTCAGAGATTCTGGTGCTCCCAGAGGTCACAGGGAATCAGAAAGGGGAAGATTGAGAACCATGCTTGTGCCTCTTTGGCCTTTAATTCAGTGGTATCACTGAAAGCACCAGGTGGGTGGTCTTGTTTGTAATATGCCACATGGGGTTTACTTTCAGTTCTTGATGAGTTTTTTCTATTAGAAAATATGGCGATTTTCCCAAGTTGCATTTGTTTAGTTAACATACTTAAATGTTTTCTAAGCATTTCTTGAATCATCCTTATCGCAATCCTTTGAGCTAGACTAGTTCTGTTTTCTTCATTTCTGTTACACAAGCGAAGCAGTGCCTCGGGAGGTCAGGTAATTTTTCCTAACATTGTACAGCAAATTAATGTCAAGGCCATGTCAGTTCTCCATTTCCCACTTCTTGTCTGCTGTGCTGTACTAAGTGGAGCTGAATGCCATTCACCCAAGAGAGCAAGGGCTCTCCCAAGTTTTCTTAGTAGAGCGTATTTACTTTAGTAATGAAAGGGAGAACATACAAAGCATGTTTAAATTAAATTTTTAAAATTTTCTCCTTAATAATTTGGGCCATAGGAAATCTTTGTGAAAATTTTCAGCTTCTGTTAACCCTTTCCAGTTACTTATATTGAAAACAAATGTCCTTTAGCTGTGAAGGTGTCATGTGTTCCCCCTTTTTTGCCTATGCAGGTAGAAGAGTCCTCTTTGTAAGGTGACAGTTAAGACAAAATAGGAAACATCATATGAAATATAAACACTACTTGTAAAATATCCAGACATTAGCTTATGTTTTTAAAGTATCCTTTCCATTCTCAAGAATAGACTCTTCCTTTGGTTGCCTGGGAATATGTATTTTTGCCCAATTTTAAATAAATATGTCTATTCATAGTTTTCTTTTTTAGTGAATTGTTGGTATGCATTAGTTATACTATATGGAACAACTAATATTTGCTTTTTATTGACCTATAGAGATGTTAGCTTGCTATGTAGCGTCTTGGTAGGTTATAAAACATGTTGATGAGGCAAACCCACTACCACACTGATATCTCGGTTCCTGTATATGGAATACTTGTCCCCTGACCAAAAACTGATATGAGATTTAATGTTGTCATCTAGGACTTGCTTTTTTAAAATATTGTTTCTAAGATTTATACTTTAAATGCAACCACAGTTTATTTTTAGTACAAGGGAAAGTCTGTTTTATGATTGTGTGGTTTGTTCTCTTACTGATTGACATTCAGGTTGCTGCTAGTCTTCTGCTGCAAATGATGTGCTACACTATAAACAATGTGTGGCATTTTCTTATTTTTTCAAGTTTTAATTCTATAGACACTAAAGTGACTTCCATGGCTTATCCCTTTTATAGAGATGACTGTACAAGATTTGACAGTACTTAGTCTTTCATGGATATTAAATATTCTCACGGACTTCCCATTTAGTGGATGAATATATACAAGGCTTGACAGTCCTTAGTTGTTCATGAAATTTTCTTTAAAATTTTTTCTTTGTAATTTTCTTTTTTAAAAAGGAGAAGTTAAAGCCAAACATGGTAGCCCACACCTTTAATCCCACACTTAAGGAGACAGAGGCAGGCCCATCTCTGAATAGGAGGACAGCCTGTTCTACAGAGTGAGTTCCTGGAAAGCCAGGGCTACACAGAGAATCCCTGTCTTGAAAAAACAAACCAAAAAAACAAAAAAAGAGAGAGAAGAAAAAGAAGTTGACTTTAAAAGTGAGACCCTCCCATAACTTGAAACTTTGTAGATTATACAGCCTTCCTGAGACATTTTCATGCATTCATTTATAAGACGACATAAATGTCACAGTCACGTCATCTTCACAGCTGCAGTTCTGAATGAGTCCCCATAGTCAACTTTATAGGCATTAAAAAAACTTTCATTTTTCTCAAAATGGTCTCATTTTAGCATCATCATTTGCAGAGGAAAACAATTCCTCTCTAAGTTAAAAGTTTGGGCTCTGAAGACTCATTTCTGAGTGCCATTTAAAATTTATTTTTAATTAAGCGTATTTAATGTTGGTAAGAGGTGCCAGACATTCAGGGCTCTGGAGATTCCAAGCATCCATATATCTACAGAACAAGCCTGGCTCTGGCAGTAAAGGTACATTCTCCTTCCTGCTGTGTTCCTGTCTGTGTCCAAAGAGCAGAATAGCCCTACTGGGGGGTGTCGCAGTCTTTGGGCTCCACTCATTACCAAGCATGTATCTAGCCAGCAGAAAGTCCACTGGTAACCATAGTTCATTGGAAATTCAGCTTAGCTTTTGCCAATTCATTTACCCAGTCTACTCAATTGCTATTAAGTGTTAATGATTTTGGGCTCCTGTCAGCCTGATTTAATTCAAACTAGAGACATAGTGCCAAAAGCTTTCTCCATTCTCTACATTGTCCATCCCTGGGGATTCCTGCCTTTCCCTATGAGAAAGCAAGATTTAATTGGTCTTTTCCTTTTTTTTTCTAAATTAATATTTAGAATTATAACTGGGAACAGACAACTCTCACTTTTAATGTTAATATTATATCAAAGAAGTGAGGATACTAATATGAGAAAATGATTGAACCAAATTAGAAATCTTACAAAAAAACAAGAGAGGATCTCTGTGGGGTGGTTTGTGCTGGGTCTCGGGTTATTAAAATATTGTTATAATCTGTTCCTGATAAATGTGCTCTAATGCTGAGCACATTCATAATTGATTAGCTTGACTGCCTCCTTGTGCAAGATCATAACAGTTTTAAACAAATGAATAAGTTTTTTGACCTGGTAGTAAATATCTCACTCTTACACAGAAGGGATTATAGGTCATTTGGATCAAGCATTAACTTTGCCTTTGGGTTTGTGACTGCAGCTAAAGGATGACTTGCATCTTGAAGGTCAAAAGAAATGTGGGCCATCAAGGATGTTCTTAAACTGTCTTTCTCATCAGATTCTTATCAGTAGAAGAGCAGTGAGTTAATTCTCAAGGCTTGAGTTCTGCTTGAACTTAACTTTTCTAACATGATGTGTTTGTTGTAGGAAACAAAACACAGTATTTGTTGGGTGCATGGCTGCTTTGCAAGATGTTATTTTTTGTTTAATGACTAGCATATTTTATAATGTTAATGTGATTTGTAAGTCCTTATAATTGGTATCCTAACAGCTGACTTTCACTAACTCATCTAAAAATTTAGCTGTCTAGGTTGAATTAATTTAACTAGTTGAAACATGCTTCTGAAACCAGAGTGGAAGGTTGGAGGAGCCTTCCATATAGTTGGCATTGCCATTCTGTTCCAGGGGTATAAGTGCATATCTAAGCTGCAGTCAGCCATCTTGAATGTCATTGTCACAGATGACTGAATTCAGGTGTAAAACTTATGGTATATCCACCCAGTTTCCCTACTGAAAGTTTTTCCTCGTCTAATCTTTATGGGTAGTGGGCTTAAGTTACTAGATTTCTTTAGAGAGTTTTATATGGTGACTGTAATGGTTTGAGAAAAAAATGGCCCCTCAAATGGAGTGGCATTACTAGGTGTGGCCTTGTTGGCACAGATGTGATCTTATTGGAGGAAGTGTGTCACTGTGAAGGTGGGTTTTGAGATCTCATATATGCTCAAGTCATGCCCAGTGAGAGAGACCACTTCCTACTGCCTACAAGATGTAGGACTCTCAGCTACTTCTCCAACACCATGTCTACCTGCACATTGCCATGTCCTTCCGTGATGATAATGGACTGAGCCTCTGAGCTGTAAGCCACCTCAATTAAGTGTTTATAGGAGTTGCCATGGTCATAGTGTCTCTTCACAACAATAGAAATGCTAACTAAGGCAGTGACCTCTATAGTAGCTCTTCGTGTGTGTGGCCTTTCTTTTAAGGCAGGGTAAAGGGAATACTTGAAATTGAGCATTTGTTCCTGTCAGTTTCTCTTTGGTATCTGTGCTTGGGTTTGCAAGGAGATGGAACTTATTAGAAACTGGAGAAGAACTTGCTCTGTGAGGCTGTCATTGTCTACAGTGTGGTATAAAAGAAGTACGATTATAATAAATGGTTAATTGATTCAAAGGAGAAAGTCTTGATTTGTGGAAATAGTTTCAAGAAAGTGTGTGGTATCTAAATCTTCTATTTCTGCACTGTGGCAGAAGTTCTCTCTCCACCTGCTGGTAACAAAAGCTTTGTTTCTGTCTCCTTATATTTCATAGGTGAGTGTAGTACAAGATTCCGTCAATATTTCTGGACAGAATACCATGAACATGGTGAAGGTTCCTGAGTGTCGGCTGGCAGATGAGTTAGGAGGACTGTGGGAGAATTCCCGATTCACAGATTGCTGCTTGTGTGTGGCTGGCCAAGAATTCCAGGCTCACAAGGCTATCCTAGCAGGTTAGTATTTATTCATGGTTCACTTTATAATTTTGTTGCAATAGGAAAACTAGTGGCTGCAAAATTGTCTTTGGAACAACTTCAGCTTTTGAACTCTGCACCTAAATACTTATTTTCAAAGTTCATTTTCATTCTGGTATTTTGAGACAGCTTAGGCTGACCTGGAACTTACTATTTTAGCCCAGGCTGTCCTCAAACTTTCAGTCCTAAACCCATCCTCACACTACCCCCCCCCCGTGCTGGAATAATAGGCATATACCACCATACCTGTACTATATTTTTGTATTCTGAGGACATTTCTCATAACCAAAAAGGCTACTTTTCATAAAAGTAGCATTTCTGGTTTGTCTTGAGTGGACTCTTAGGCTATATCATTTTCAAAGTGTAAATGATGGTTATATAAAAATATTACATATCTTTGCATCGGGAAAGTAGCTCTTAGAGTACTAGGTGGTAGCTCCTAGTTGGGCTTTGGATACAATAGACAGGATTCTGGTCAAGGGAGTAAATATTATCAAGCTGAGACTTAGGCCTCAGATGGTTAAGTTGTCTCTTCACTATAAACATACAAGAAGAATGAGACTATTGCTGCTGACCCAGAGGATCAGGTCTTGTTCTATCAGGTTCTTGATCTTTAAGACCAGAAAGATTCACCCAGAGGAGGAACTGAGAGAAGGCTGACTTCACCTTATAGAAAATGGGAGCCATAGCTACGCACTGCTCTGCAGAGTACAGAGCATAAGGGAGTATTGTGTTCCTCTCCAAGTAACATACTTCTTCCCAGGACTCCTTTGTTGAGACATCTTGACTCCATCATTCTAAGGTTTACTCTTGAAGTGAGCTCAAGCTGTCTCATGTGACAACTTCCCATTTTCTGCCTCAACTAGGTTGTCAATGCTGAAGGAAGTGAGCAACTCAGACTAGTGTCTGTCTGTATAGTGAGGCCCTCAACATGTTTCTTTTTTTTCTTCTTCCTTCCTCTTTCCCTCCCTTCCTCCCTCTCTTCTTTACTTCCCTTTCTTTCTCTTTCTTTTAATGTTTGTTTCTTGTATGTGTGGTACAAGCATGTTTTTGCACATGTCTGTGCAAGTACATTACTGTGTGTATATGTGCAGAGCCCAGAAGTTGCATGTCTTCTTCTGTTGCTTTCTACCTTACTTTTTGAGCTAAGGTCTCTCAGTGACGTGCAGTTTACCATTTTTACTGAGCAGATTGATCAGTGCAATCCAGGGATCTGAGGACATGGGAGGAACACAGTGGATCCCTCCCACAGCTCTCCCATGTCCTCCCAGTGCTGGTGTTACAGATACATGTCTGGCTTTTAACTGGGTACTAGGGATCCAAAAAGAGGTCCTCGTGCTTTGCACAGCAAGCATTTTATCTGCTGAACCATCTCCTCAACTCAACTCCCCACCCTGCCCAACCCCCACTGTATCTTTCTGTAGATGCAGTCAGCCTCCTTCTTTTTTCCCAACAATAGATGTTTCAGACTTCTGTCATCCCCTCTAAATTCCTCTAACTCCTAAAGGATGCTTTTGCCCACATTTCCTTTCAAGAGGCCCTCTTGTTCCCTCACCTGTCTTCTCAGTGGCAAGGAGGTATCCCTGACTTGAGGATGGATGCTTCTGTATACTTCTGCTCTCTGAGTCTCGCCCTGCCTTCCTAGAAGCCTGGTTCTCTCAGTGCATGTGCTCTTTTCCCCACATACTCTGAGCTAAATTTCTTGAGGTAGCACATTCACTGTCTGCTTCCTTTCTCCATGTTGTCCTCAGTTCACCTCCTTGCTAGGAAAGAATTTTCCAAAGTTATGTGAACTACCTGATAGCTCCTAAGTTGGAAAGGCTGCAGATCATATCCTAGTTGACTCCGTGCTCCAGTTTTCTCCTGGTTCTTTGACGACTTTGTTCTTCCCCTTTATGGTTCAGGATAGCAAACTCTAGGCCCCACCGATGCTCAACAAGCACTCTATCGCCAAACTGTATCTCCTGCTTGCCCCAGCTGTTTCTCCTGTGTGCCTTCCCTTCCTTTTCTTTACCTTTCCTTCATGCAGCTGTCAGCCCTAAGAGTCTGCTTCAGTATTTCCTCTATTCTTGCTGGGAATTCTGTTCCATTGCATTAGCTATGGTCTGTCTTCTGATGACTTTCTAACCCCCACCTGCTGGTGTGAACCTTCCCTTTGTATTAAAGTACCAGTCCATGCGCACCATATAGTCTGTAATTCTTCTGAGAAATAACCTTCTGAAATAGATTAAAATACTGAGGTTCACATTCAAAATCTTAAAAAGCGGGGAGAAATTTGACCAGGCTGACCTCACACTCGAAATTCTCTTACCTTGCACTTAATGCATCACTAATGCCTCGTTTATTTATAATTTTTTGTAAAAAATTAAAATATATATATGCATGCATACATATATTAAGCAGGAGAAACAGGGTAAATGGTTCAGAGAGTTAAATGATTTTACCAAGAAAATGATTAGAAAATGGCAAAGCTAAAATTTGTTCTTTCTGATGTAAACTAAAGGCCAAAAGTTCTAGGTCTCTGCCACCATCCTACCCACTCTCTATCTGTCCTTCTGCTCTTAGGTACTGGGTTGGAAGTGTTAACTTTGGCCTCAATCCCTGATTTACTCATCAATATGAAGAAAAAATGAGTTCTTTATTACTGTTCTGGTTGGAATTAAGTCTGCTTATTTTTTGTGTTTGTGTGTGGTGTTTCATGAGTGTTCATAGAAAGTACGTGGACCATAGCACTGTTTCTTGACCTTTTGTCTTCATTCCCATTTCTAAAGAGAAAAACTGAATTCTCTGTGATGAAAAAAAAATTAAATGTTAAGGAAGATGGTTTCACCAAACAGGAAAGAACATAGAACACATAGCTAGAGGGACAGGCAATTTGCCATAAATGTTCATTATCAAGCTAGTGCATGCCACTGAGCCCAGCTCTTGACCTTCTTCCTGTGTAGTCTCTAGAGATGCCAGTCATTGTTCCAGCCAAAAGTCCAGATATTAGAACACCCTGCTTAGACCATGGAATACCTTCCAGTTTAAAGTTCAAAGTCTACACAAGTAGTATATATTCCATTGTTGCCCAATATAGATAAATAATTTCATTAAATGTGGATGATTAAAATAGAGCCAAAGAAATGTTTTGAAACATATGTTTTCTAATTCTGATGTGATTTGAGGCCAAGATCGTTTCCTTGGGAATGGAACAGGAAGAACAAAGATCATTATTATTACTTGGGTAATCAAGCAATTCCCATGTCATAACCTCATTGTTTCCCTCTCACTTTGTAGCTCGGTCTCCAGTTTTCAGTGCCATGTTTGAACATGAAATGGAGGAAAGCAAAAAGGTGTGTAACAGAATGGACATGTGTCTTTTTAACCCAGTGACTGCAGTAAGACCTTTCTCAGTCTGGCAGATTTATTTTCCTAATTATCTTTATCTTGCCATGTTAGTAAAGTGCTGCTTCTTGAGCAGACGGGTGGTCTGGGGGGTCCCAGTTGTGTGCACTTACTGTTCAGAGGTCATCTCAGTGGTTTGGGCTAAAGATACTAGAAAGTCCAGAGATTTAAAAACAAAACAAAACACTACACTACACATGTAGTTGTTTTCCAACTGTCTGTGATAAAATAAAAGTAGTATACAATGATGGGAGGGAAGGTGTTGTTTACGCAGCCAGGAGAGAAGAGGGAGGAGGCTTTCTATCCATGCTAGGTTTGAACTCATACAAGCTGCTTTCTTCACCAGAACTTAACATGAGTATAGTTTAGAATTGTGTTCTGTTGGAATGCTTCTCATTTTTGACTTTTCTTCCGGCACAGAATCGGGTCGAAATCAACGATGTGGAACCTGATGTCTTTAAGGAAATGATGTGCTTCATCTACACAGGGAAGGCGCCAAACCTTGACAAAATGGCTGATGATTTGCTGGCAGCTGCTGACAAGGTAAGATAAGAAAGAATAGGAAGATAATCATAGGACCAGGTGTTCCTGTGACCTCTTCAGTTTTGTGAAAGGGCTTATGTGCTGTATATGGATGAAGTGAGCATACATACATCTTAATTGGGCAGGACAATCTTCTTTATCCTGTTGTTCCAGCACAGTAGTAACCTTTTGGTGCTAGAGGTGTTGTTCTCTGAATGATAAACTATCGGAGCCATCCAATGGGGTGGAGGGGGTTGTTTGATAGTCACCCTCTTCTTACTCTATCTTAGTTTTAACCCAACAAGAATATTCAGGTAATGCTAACGTTTGGGTTGTACTTTATAATTTTCAAGATATTTTTTACTTCATTAACTTATCCAAACTTTATCAAAAAACTGTATAGCCTTGGGCCTATGAGGTGACTCAGTGGGTAAGGTGCTTTGCCTGAGGATCTGAGTTCAATTCCCAGAACCCACAGAGTGTAGGAACTGACGCCCACAAGTTGTCTCTGACAGACAGGACTACACAGAGAAATCCTGTCTCAAAAAAACTGACACACACACATACAATATCCACTGATTTATTTTTTTGTGTGTGGGGGGCGTGTGTGTGTGTATGTGTGTGTCAGTTTTTTTGAGACAGGATTTCTCTGTGTAGTCCTGTCTGTCATGGAACTTACTTGCTCGGTAGACCAGGCTATCCTCAAACTCACAGAGATCCACCTGCCTTTGCCTCCTGAATACTGAGATTAAAGGTGTGCACCACCACTGCCTGGCTTTTTTTTTCCTGTCTTCTTTTTTTCAAATAAATGTAATTTTAAAGAGAGAAACTAACTGGGCAGTGGTGGCACATGCCTTTGCAGAGGCAGGCAGACCAGGCTGAACTCTAACTCACAGAGATCCTCCTGCCTATGCCTCCCAAGTGCTGACTGGAATTAAAGGTGTAGGCCACCACACTCGGTTTACTAATAATTTTTTGAAAATAAGTAATGGTAGACAGAATTCCTCCAACTTAGTTTACCCTGGAAGCATTTTTCTCAAGGATCACATCTGATAAAAGAATCTCAGAACACAATGGGAACTGACTTCCATTGTGAAGGCATGTAGAGCCCAAAGGCTGCCTGCTTGTGTCCTGGGGCCTGTGCAGATATCACTTGTGAGGTGGCCAGGAAGACTGATATTTGCCCTGTATAATTGCTCCCTGTGCGTTAGGCAGGAGCAGTTGATGTGGAAGAATTAAAAGGCTTACTTAGCTGCCAGCAGTAGACCTCAGGAGAAAGCAGATGCTTGCTGGGAGTGCTACCTCTTCTATTGTGTCTGAGTTCCAGTACTTTTCTGAAGAAGTAGCTCTAGATAAGAACGCTAAAGCCTTCCAGTTTCTGCTGTGAAGAATTGTCTTTTTTTTTTTTTTAAAGATTTACTTATTTATTTTATTTACAATATTCTGTCTACATGTATGCCTGCAGGCCAGAAGAGGGCACCAGATCTCATTATAGATGGTTGTGAGCCACCATGTAGTTGCTGGGAATTGAACTCAGTACCCCTGGAAGAGCAATCAGTGCTCTTAACCTCTGAGCCATCTCTCTAGCCCAAGAATTGTCTTCTTATACCTCCTTTTGTGTCTGAGAACAAAGGAGGGTGCCTAGACTTATCACAGAGGCTGTGTTCAGCATTTTGGAGTATTACTGAATATGAGGCATATAGACCTAATCATTGCTCTTGATGAAGATTGGGATAGTAATTATTTTTGTTATCACCTTTGGAGACTTGATTAGTAGTTGGCAGCATGAAAACTCCACACCCTTCTAGTCAACCTCATTTCTGACTAGGAGAAACTTGGTTTCAATGGAGATAATGAGAAAATATTCTCTTTAAGCTGGGTAAAATTAGTACAGTCCAGTGCTCTTTTTTTTTGTTGTTGTTTATTTTGAGACAGGGCTTTGCTCTGTAGCCCCAGCTGCCTTCAACCTCACAGTCACCCTGAACCTTACTCAGTTCCTGAGTACTGGGTTTAGCTGAGTGTATCCAAACTTTCATAGAGTTACTATGGTTTTGTCTGACCTGCCTCTGGTTTCCAAAGAATTGGTCCCTTGTTTTATATACCTCAGGTCTTTATCACTTCTCTTTGAGGTCCTGTAAGAATGATGAGTACTACAAAGCCCACGTTTTAGACAGAAAGACTGAAGCTCAAAGTTACACATCCCTAGAGTCAAAGTTAAAAACTACTGTTTCTGCATTTTCATTCTCTGCCAAAAACCTAATTGTGACCCTTGGGGCAAGAGGAATGGGAATTAGCCCAAATTGCCATTTGGATGTTGGTTTCAATGCAGCATGTTTCCTTCTGATTTTAAAAAAAAAAACTTGAATCCCAACAGTGCAATAAATTTATGAATGAGAAGTGCCAGGCAGTGGTGGCACACACCTTTAATCCCAACACTCGGGAGGCAGAGGCAGGCGAATCTCATGAGTTTAAGACCAGCCTGGTTTACAGAGAATTCCAGGATAACCAAGGCTACACCAAGAAACACTATCTTAGGAAAATAGGGGGCAGGGGTAGTAACTGGTAGGTGCATTTTCAGATTCCGTTCAGAATTTCCCACTGGGTAGCCTTTGCTCCAAGCCTATTTGAAAGCATGCTTTACCTTTACACCTCTCTGTGAGTTTAGGAAAACAGTAAAAAATCTTTCATGGAAGGATCTAAACATCTAGAATTTACCCTGGAGGCTGAAACAGCTTCTTCTGAGCCTTTCCAATCTCCTGGGGACATGTGTAATTAGACCAAAAACAAAACAAAACACGCTGGCCGGGCCTGGGAGACACAATTTCAATCTCCTGAGTAAGTACTGCCATTAGGCAGGGTTTTCAGAAGCATAATTAAGAAAAAAACTTTGTCCCCCAAGAGACAGGAGTGGCTACTTTGGTCTAATTATGCGGGTGGGATCAGAGCTATTCACAGCAGAAGTCCTTTTAAAAGAAAGTGTAAAGAAAGGTAAGAGGAACAGTCTAGTAGCACTGCAGAAGACTGAACGTCTACTCAACTTTCCCAGCACCCTCGTTTCTTACTTGTCTAGTGCCATTCCCCTTTTCCATTGAAATTGTTTTTCAGTTACTCAAATATAAGAAATTAAACTGACACCAAAACCAATAAAACTCCATTCTGCTTCAGGAGATCACAGTGCCAGCAGGTATGCCTCCTTGCCTGAAGTTCATAATAAAATTGTCTTGATTTGGTTGCCATGATTCAGCCTGGAGGGGCATTGTGTCATGATTCTGGGGCCTGAAGGTGGAGGCCCTGTAGAGAGCCTGGAAAGCCTCATAGCAAACGCTTGTCCTGTGAAGTAATTAATGACATTTTGCTCTGTGCCTTCTTTATTCCTCAGTAAGTTCATGCTGTGGTAGAGCAGGTAGCAGAGTGGCATCAGACCTAGTCAGCGGGATCAGTGTGCTCAGTGGGCCGAGACTTTCCATTTCCAGATGTTTGTGTTGTTTGTTTAGAAGTTTTAAACTGAAATTGAACCAAGGTTTCTGGTGCTTTGTCCTTTTACCCTAAGAATCTTTTACCCTAAGAATCAACCCCAATAAAGTAAAACTTAATTTATCTTTTCCTATTTCAAAGAAGCCCTTGATTCACCCTCACTCACGAACAATGTGTGGTAAAAATGCTGGTGAAAACTACCACAGGGTCCCTTTTCACAGCTTGATAGGTCTTTGGGGTATCTTGCCAGGATAGTGACACTGCTTAGGCAAAAAGACCTGTGCTTTTGGCTCAGTTGGCTATAAGTTGTAGGACTGTGAAAGTTGTAATAAAATGTTCTGCTGGCTTGCAGGTGGCTAATGCATCATTGTCAGGGTAGGTGGTGATTGTTTAAGAAAGACAGGTAATGCAATGAGCTTTGGAATAAAAATCTGCTCTGATTGCCATTTTCTAGCAGTAAACTTTGGAATTTTTGATAGATACTACCCACCATATTTCAGTTGTTTTCTTTTCAAGCTTAAGCAACCAGCCTTCAGAGTGTGGTTGTGCTTTATAACTGTGGTGACGGCTTTTCCTGCACTCTGCAATTCTGTTCAGATACCCAGTTATACAGCAGTGCCACTACAGAGAACAACTTCAGTAGCGGTCAGCCCTGAGCGACTGCTGCTCTGATGACAGCACTGCTTGTTTTACAGTATGCCCTGGAGCGTTTGAAGGTCATGTGTGAGGATGCCCTCTGCAGTAACCTCTCCGTGGAGAATGCTGCAGAAATTCTCATCCTGGCTGACCTCCACAGCGCGGATCAACTGAAAACTCAGGCAGTGGATTTCATCAACTAGTGAGTAGCATCTTCAAAGTTTTTCTTTCAGAATAATTGGGATAAAGAAATAAAAAAGACTTTGAATTAGTGAGTAAAATGAGCAAGGAGATTCATTAACCTTTTGGTAGTAAGTAGAGAATTTTTGTCTTTCTGTTCAGCTTGACAGTGTGAAAATGGTTTTGCATTCACGGATCAGGTCCTAGTTGTGAGTGAATCCCTGTACTTCCAAACAGCAGTGGAACTGAGTAGTGATAACTTGCTGACCTGGAAAAGCTGTGTGTCCCAAATGACAGGAACCTCACTTTACTTTCACTGACAAAATGAAAGATAGACAGATTCCAAGAGAACAGAGGTTCATTTTTTATGAATTGGTAAAATATGTTTTATGTCTCTGGTGGGCTCAGGGAACGAGAAAGGATGGACATTAACTGATTGTTAAAGACTGTTTTGAAAAGGAAACAGTCTACCAGGTCGGTCTGTTCCTTCACTCCAAGTGACAGGTGACCTCACTGCAGCACTTTCTAAAATGCTTTGAAGGAGGTTATAACTGTAGTCCTTTTCATTGCAAGATACTCTATTATTTCCTTGTTTGATGGGAAGCAAAAGTTGGAGTGAAAAAAGTCCTCACAGTGCTAGGCGGTGGTGGCACACACCTTTAATCCCAGCACTCGGGAGGCAGAGGCAGGTGTATCTCTATGAGCTTGAAGCCAGCCTGGTCTACAGATTTACAAGAGCTAGTTCCAGGATAGGCTCCAAAGCTACAGAGAAACCCTGTCTCGAAAACCAAAAAAAAATAAAAAAGGTCCTCAGGTAGATGAGTGGCCAAGTTTAATTCAGAAGTAATATCTTATAGATCTAGTTGCATGGTTGTTTCTGAGGTGTGAGCCTGAGACAGAAGAGGAAGGGAAGGACCAGTGTCATTTCTGTTCAGGCTCACTATGTGTTGGATATGTACTTGTCACTTTTTAGAAGGTAACTCAACTATTGAGCAAAAAGCGGCTATTCTCTTTCTTGATCGTCAGATAGGCCCTGGCTGTGATGTGCCTTGTGGTTAACAAGACTAGTAAATGACACCACCAGGTGGGAGCTCAGAGCTGAATGTCTAAGGAAGCCCTTGCTCTTTCTCTTTATTGGCAGCTGTGAATATAATTATCATCAACAATGTTGACTCTGTCGAACAGCCCATGTTTTCAGAGTGCAGTGCCTCAGAGTCCAAGTTTTGGGAATTAGAGCCACAGCCCAATCACCGGTCTGCACATTGTCTAGCAAGCACATGCATGTTAAGGGTTCTGTCTTGGGTAGTGTTGATTGTATTGACCACATCTACACCAAACACTGAAAAAGTGGGCTATCTAGGCAGCTGTTTGGTCCATGTGCACACTTCCTTTGGTAACCTCTCTCTCGCATTTCTCCTAGTCATGCTTCGGATGTCTTGGAGACCTCTGGGTGGAAGTCAATGGTGGTGTCACATCCCCACTTAGTGGCTGAAGCATACCGCTCTCTGGCTTCAGCACAATGCCCTTTCCTGGGGCCCCCACGCAAACGCCTGAAGCAATCCTAAGATCCTGCCTGTTATAAGACTCCATTTATTTTCCAGAAGCAGCAGCCATCGTTGCTGCCACTGACCACCAGGTAGACGGCGCAATCTGTGGAGCTTTTACTCTGTGTCAGGGGAAAGACTGTACCATGACCCAGACTTTAAAACAGCACTAAATAACTTAGGGGACCGGGTGGGGGGCGGCCCGGGCCCAGGACTGGGGCTGCTCAACCTAATGAAAACCCTGTCGCCGTGTCACCGTGTTCCCTTTGGCCTGGCCAAGTTGACCCTGGGATTCAGTTTAGGTGCTGGCCCCAAGCACATCCCAGCAGTGGTACTTTGGAGAAACCTGCCTGCATCTGACTGAGCAGAACAAATCGTCAGGTGCCTGGAGCAAAAAGGAAAACAAAATGGACATTTGGTTTTAAGAGAAGGGAAAAGGAAAGAAGAAAGAATTTTTTTCAGAAATCAGTTTGTGAATTCCAGTAGTATTTATGTTGAAAGAAGCAAATTTTAGTCCTTCCAGCTGTGTTAAACCTTGGATATTTGTGAAAACTCCTCACTACCATACAAGTATCAGCAGAGCTCTCTCGTTAGCACTTACCATTTGCAAGAACAGAGCCCATCCTTTTATCCTCTTATGAAAAGTGACACGTGAAGGCGAAGGGGGAAGGAGGTTATTTGATCTAGAAGATGAATGTTTTGATGGTAGTGGCTTTTGCAAAATCTTTATTGGTGTTGAAAACTGGAAAAAAAAGTTATTCATCCAGAATTCATACTGTCTTGACAAGAACATGGTTCTGTTTTTAGATATCGTGGAAAATGTTTTTGGTGGGTTTTTTTGGCATTTTTCTCTGATTTTATTTTTTCTTCCCTTCCCCCTCCTTTTTTTTTAAAAAAAAAAGAAGAAATAAATCCAGAAAATACATAAAACAAAAAGAAGAGAAAAAGAAATTTTATTATTATTGCTATGTGAAAAAAATTCCAGCCCAGATTGCCCGGCTGTTTGTACCTGACTTGTCGCCTGCATAGGAGCCAGTCTGTCACTTCTGATTAGCCCCTCTTCCAAGGGGGAGACTTCCAAATGTTAATTTTTTCTTTTTGAAATATAAATAATTACTATTTTGTACTGTGTGGTATCTCTTGTCTTTTGTTTCACTCACTTGGCTTGTCTCTCGGATCTGAGTTTTTTGCTTACGGGGTTTTGAAGCCCTGGTTTGATCTTAATCTTTCAGGAATTATATCTAAAATATCCAAGAAGCAGTAGGGATTTATTTATTCTCCATAATCTCAAGTTTCCTTTGTGAGCATCTGCCAGTCTTGTCCTCCTTGAGGATCTGCCAACCATGTCCTATTGAGAGACTGGAACCAGGCCCTACTCTGCCAAGAGAAGCAATTGTAGTAGGCTTTTTCTGCACCCCAACCATGTGTGTTAATACCCAATCCCAAATCTCCTTTCTCCTAACAAAATACAAAAAAAAGTATTTAGGAGACGTGAATATGGAGATTAAATAAAGGGAAATTATTGTCTCTGATGGGTCCTGTCATTGACTGTGTTTCTGAGGAAACTAAGGTCTTAACTTGCAGTGAGATAACAAGAATGTGTGGAGCTCCCAGCTCCACAGCACTGGCCAGACAGTGGAACACTAGGAATACATTGTTTGGCCAAAGTTGCATTATTTAGTCTTAGGTGGAATCTCAGCCCTTTTCACACTCCATTTCCTTTCAGTGACTGCTCTTTGCAAATTCTCTGGTTTTCATTGTATAGCTACTACTGGGCTGGGTATGTATGAGTTAGCGGCAGTTTTTTCACAAATGTTTCTTCCCAAGTGTGACCTGTGTAAGGAAGTGTCTGGTTCTCTGTGTACTGACTGCTGACCACTGTCATTTTGGCCCCCATTTGCCGTGTTGGTGCATACTCCTAGTGATCCAGTGGACACAACATCTGCTTTGCCCATACAGCCTCTGTGTTTGTTCTACAGCCTTCAGTTCTCAGCAGACCTTCGTCTGTACTGTCCTTTTGAACCTCTAGCCTCTCAACGAGTTTAGTTGGACAGGTGCTAGTTAGTGTTGCTCTGTAGCTGGAAGAGGTGAAACTGGAGGAAGGCACATGCCTAACTAAGGTCACATGAATACCGAGTACCAGATCGTCTAATGTCATATCCTGAAGATTACATAAGGAGTAGAGGAAGTTCCATTTCTGGAGTGCTTAGGTATAAAATTGGAAGTGAAGCTTGCTTCCTCTGGGAATAGTGAGAACAAAGCTCCAGAAAGGTGCCTCTACTGGCCTGTTCTTCAGCGCTCCCAGCAGGGTGAAGCAGATTTGCTTCGCTGAGCTTCACTCACAGTTCTGGGGTTGAGGCTGGAGGACTCAGAGCATGTGCTCTCAGGAAGGGAGCTGGCCTGACATCTGGCTTTGGCAGGATAAAGGTCTCTTCTGGGATTTTCCATACTGATAGAATTTCCAATGTGGACTTCACTGTAGATTGAAAACTGATGAAATTTCAGGTATAGATGATGATGCTCAATGCTGCTCCTGTTACTATATTATTTCTGGCCATGTTTGTTTTTGTTTAAATGATACAGTTGAAGCCATCTGGTTATGACAACATCAGAGCCCCAGCATACTGTTCATAAACCTCCCACCGCCACCACCTCTTCCCTTAGCTCCCCCACATCTGAAATCTAATTCCAGTTAACTCCACAATCTGGGGCATGTGCTGTCACTGCAGAGATGTCCGTGCCAGTGGAACAGTTGGAGATGGCAATTCCACAAGGATATGGCTTATTTATCAAAACAATATTTCAGGCAAGTAGTTCCACAGAACCTTCAGAGTTGCAGGTTTTGGGGCCAAATAGAATATCTGGCAGTGTCCCCATCTCCCCACCTCCCTGTGGTCTCTGGCCATCCATGGGGGGTGGGGAGTATTTCCATTTCCTACATAGAGATTAAACCTGTCAGTTATCAGGCAACTTGAAGACCTTTATAGGTTTGAACAATTTAGGAAAGAAATGTCTCTTTCCCTTTTCACTGATAAGGCCGCTGGACTTGAGCTCTCAGAGAGCTACTGCTGTTTTGCTTTCCTTTTTAATTCCAGCCAGGAACATGGAGATCCTACGACAGGCCAGAAGATCTCTAGCTGGGAGCTCCTTTTAAGTTGTGGCTTCAGCCTATTGTGGGACCACCGTATTGGATGAGCCCTGTGCCGATGAAAGGGAAGCAGCTTCTATGTATGCAAACATTAAACTGGGTAGAGGGGCAGAGCTGCGCCTGGCACCCACTGGTGCTTGGTTCTGGCCCTTCAGCTCCTAGAAAAGAGCCACTAGATCAACGTGCAGCATGGCTGCCGTGCATCTCTTCCTATACCTTTGTTAAAAACAAATTATTGGCTGAAACCCAACCTTATTTTCAACAACTAATTATCTTTTTAATCAGCCTGGGCCCTGTGTGTTTCCTTTTGTCTCGTGACTTTTCATCGAAATCTGCCCTCCCTCATTTAGATTCATTTCTAATGGCTTGCTGACTAATCTAACATTCAGGTAAGTGTTATTGGCCTGCTGTGTATGTGCATGCACAAGGTAGCTGTGCTTTCCCGCTTTTAATTTCAGAGGTGACTCTGCCACTGTGGGCCCTTTGACCCCTTAGGTGAATGCCTCCTGAATACAGTGAGCAAGAAAGCAGATGTAGGAAGATCAGCCTTTGGGATAATGAGCTGGGAGAATCAGAAGCTCTGACCTCCAGATGAGAACAGAACTTGAATATTGTTGACTGATGGGATCTTTAAGCCATTAACAAAACGAGTGCTCCCCTCTGTAAATCCTGTCTGTAATACTGGAGGAGGAAGTGCCATCTACAATACTGTTTGCTGATTTCTGCACTCTGAGAAAAAAAGAATTCTAGACTTGAGGGAATTCAATACAAGCAGCAGAAATGATTAAGGAGTTGAAGGGGATCAACTCTAGGGGAAAGACATTATGAAGATAAAGTGCATGCCACTCCAGTATAGGAAGTGTACCTGCAGCTGACAGATGTCACAGGCATCCTGAGCACTTACTGGCCTGTCTTGTGTAGCTCTCATTCATTGCTCTTGTGGAAGTTTGGAAGGTGAAAATGTCACTTCTTCAAGGTCACACCTCCTGGTCCAGAGCCAAGAAACAACAGCAGTCAAAATATTTGGAGCTTGGACCAAGAACCAAAGAGAAGACGAAAAGCCACATTTGTCTGATGGCAACATGTACTTGCCTGCTGATGCTCAGAGGAAAGGTAATGGTGACAACTTCCCAAACTGAAGAAGGAGGTGGTCACAAAATTCATCTTCATGTCAGAGAAAACAGACATTTAGAAAAGAGGAAAAGGGTCCAAAGAACAGAGACTAACACTTACGTCACTAAGAGAGCAAATGCTTATACGGCACTGGAGGTCTAGGGTGGTGGGTAGAATATCTGCTCTACCAATGAAGTCCTAGAGGCAGAAGCAAACCAGAGAGCCCCCTAGGACTAAAAGCAAATGCGTTAGGAGGACAGCAGTTACCGTAAAGCATTTTCAGTCATGATGGAGGCAGAAGAAGCCAGGGTTGACAGGATAAATCAACAAACTGAGTACAGGCTACCCTTGGCACAAGTTTTGACAGTGAGAGAAGAAAAGAACTAACCCCTGATCACATAATTCAGTCAAGTCAATGAACTCATTTGTTTCAGTGTGTAATGGTATACAGGCTGTTCGCTTGGTTGTTTGATGTCTCGAACACTGCAGCCACAGCTATTTGTAATGTAGTGAAAGTCATGCTTGTGGAATAATTAGGCTTTTCAGATGAGGAAGAAAACAGCCAGCTTTAGTCTACACTCTTGAGAATGATTCCCTAAAGACCCACTTCTGGGCTTTTTCAGCCTATCTTTCAAGTAGAAGTTTCTTCACACCTTAAATGTTTTCATGGGCCAGTAGTGGATTCAGTGGTATGCTACTGAAGGCATGTTCCTCGGGTCCTGTATACAGAAGCTCTTTGCCAGTCTGCATGATGCACATGCTCTCACCATGGCTGACTTCACATCTTCAAGGTGACCTTACTGAGTGAAAATTGGAGATGTACAGTATGCCATTTCCTAGTATCTCCCCTGTAGAGACCATAGATGAAAATAACCTCGTACAGCTGGGCAATGGTGGCGCACGCCTTTAATCTCAGCACTTGGGAGGCAGAGGCAGGCAGATCTCTGTGAGTTCAGGACCAGCCTGGTCTATAAGAACTAGTTCCAGGACAGGCTCCAAAGCTACAGAGAGTCTCAGAGAAAAAAAAAAAGAAGAATGAAAAAAAAAAACCCCATACACATAGACAATTGTAAGATGTGAGATGATTAGGAAGAGCTTTTGAGTACTTTACTAATTGTGTGGTCATACTATTTATTTATTTATTTATTTATTTATTTATTTGGTTTTTTGAGATAGGGTTTCTCTATTATAATAATTCTGACTGTCCTGGAACTCACTCTATAGACCAGACTGACCTCAAACTCAGAGATCCACCTGCCTCTGCCTCCCAAGTGCTGGAACTAAAGGCATGAACCACCACCTCTCAGTTGTAATTTTTAGTGATCGCTATGGCTATTTAACAGCTAGCTTTTAAGATTCCTAAAAATTGAGCAGTTGGCTCTAGAAAGCCAGTGTGAACCAGCTTTAGCACACCAGAAGTGTGGTTTCAGAATGTCTTCTGAGATGTCTGTACCTGGTTACTTCCTGTTGACCCACGGTACTTTAAAATGCATTTGATGGGGGCTGGAGAGATGGCTCAGAGGTTAAGAGCACTGACTGCTCTTCCAGAGGTCCTGAGTTCAATTTCCAGCCACCACATGGTGGCTCACAGCCATCTATAATGAGATCTGGTGCCCTCTTCTGGCATGCAAGCACACATGGAAGGAATATTGTATACATAATAAATAAATAAATCTTTAACCAAAAAAATGCATTTGTGTCTGAGGAGAGGGCTCAGGAGTTAGGAGCACTGGCTCCTCTTCCAAAGGACTTGGGCTCAATTCCCAGCACCCTCCTGTCCTCCTTGGGCACCATAATGCTTGTAATGCACAGACACATGGAAGCAAATAGTCATACACACAAAATTAAAAAAAGTTTAAATGCGCTTATGTCATTTAATGGCAAGATGAAATTGTGTGTTTTTATTCATCTGTAGATCTGTTGACATTGATACATGAACCAATAGTCTTATTACATGTTTTGATCTCCCTGGGTAAATTAACACATTTTTATTTCTGTCTTTCAGCAGCACTAGGAATCTGTGTTGATGGAACGCTAATGGAAAGCAGGCATCAATACCAGGGAGTTACCCACCATCGCCAGCAGTCCTCCCAGGGCCATGGCCTCTACTGTGCATCCTTCCAAAGTTCTCTAGAAAAGAAAGGGCATTTGAGTGGGTGGTCCCCCAGGATCCTCCCATCAAACCTGAAAAGTCTTTCCCTTGATTTGGCCCCATAAAGGTTTTAGAGAAGCTGGAGTCATAGCTCTGGTTAAGAGCATGGGCTGCTCATGTAGAGGATCCACGTTAGGTTCCCAGCACTCATGTCAGGTGCTTCCTAACTGCCAGTAACTTCAGCTCCAGGGAGTTCGGTGCCCTCTTCTGGCCTGTTTGGGGACCTTCACACACATGGCATATAAACACACACACATAAATAACAATCTTCAGGAGCTGGAAAGGTGGCTCAGTGGTTTATTGCTCTTACAGAGGACCCAACTTGGAATTCCAGCACCCAGTTCACAACTGCCTGTGATTCTAGCTCCAAGAAGATCTACCACTGGCCTCAGGAAACCTACTCATATGTAATCTATACACATATACACAATTAAAAAATAAATATTTTAAAGGTTTTATACTGTTTCTGTTTACTGCTAATAACTCACAGATATAACACACAGTATGCCAAGGAGTATGCTGTATGTATGTAGGTACACAGCCACAAGTAAAGCTGTTCCTTGCACTCATGGGAGCTTAGAATTTAACAAAATTTGCTTTAAAATTTTGCCAGATGGTGGTGGCACACACCTTTAATCCCAACACAGAGGCAGGTAGATCTCTGAGTTCAAGGCTATCCTGGTCTACAGAGTGAGTTCCAGAACAGCCAAAGCTATACAGAGAAACCCTGTCTCCAAAAAAAAAAATTAAAGAATCAGCAGTGAAGAAGTGATGATAACCAGAAAATTTAACAAAATGTGTTAAAAGTATCAAGAAAAAGTAAAACATGTTCATTCAAATTGGCAGCAGCATAGCAGCTGGGTGGTGGCAGTAGCGGTAGCAAGCATGCCTTTAACCCAAGCACTAGGGAGGCAGAGGAGAATTGGTAGCATAGCAACCCTCAGAGATTATGGTCATTTCAGGGCAAGATTGCAAATCTTCCGGGCATGGTGTGATGGGAAGGACAGAGGAGACAAAGGAGCACATGAGGGTGTGGTGGTGGATGTGTGTTTTTACAAAATGGGAACATGTTTTAATTTTTGAAAATTATATATAGGGATGAAGAGAACTCAGTGGTTAAGAGCACTGGCTGCTTCTCCAGAGGATCCAGGTTCAGTTCCCAGCACCTACATACTGCTCACAACCATCTCTAACTACAGTTCGTGATGCCCTCTTTTGTCCTCTGGACATGTGGCACACACGTACACAGACATCCATGCAGTCAAAGCATGGGTACACATTTCTCATTATGTGTGTGTCAGCGGTGGTGGTGGGGGGGTCTGTGCACATAAGTGCATGTGTCTGCAGAAGCAGCCTTGAGGTAGCTGCTCCCCTGGAGCTGAAGTTACAGGTGGTTGTGAACTTTGACGTGTGCCAGGGACTGGACTTGGCGTGTGTTTAGAGTTGGAGCGCTGGGGCAGCCCAGTAGAGAGGGGGGACAGTGAGGCTGGGTGCATGGGCCCAGGCAGTGCAGAAACAAGCAGACCTGTCTTTTAGTGGGAAGGTAAGAAAATTTGTTTACTTCTGGTGACTCACGTTTTTTGTTTGGTTTTCTGGGTTTGGGGGTGGGTTGTGGGTGAGGTCTCTTTATGTAACTCTGGCTTTCCTGGAACTTTTTAAGTAGACCAGGCTGTCCTGGAACTCACAGAGATCCTCCCACCTCCAGTGTTGAGATTAAAGGTGTGTGCCACCATACCATACCTGACCTATGCTTTTGTGTGTGTGTGTGTGTTGTTTTGTTTTGTTTTTTTGTTTTTGTGGTTTCTCTATAGCTTTGGAGCCTGTCCTGGATCTTGCTCTGTAGTCCAGGCAGGCCTCAAACTAGCAGAGATCCACCTGCCTCTGACTCCCGAGTACTGGGGTTAAAGGCGTGCATCACCACCACCCAGCCTGACTTATGCTTTTTATAGTTAAGTAGAAATGAGGTAATGGCCACAACTGGGAAAGAGTGGGGTTCTAAGTGAAGGTCTGAGCTAGCTGTGGAAGAGGAGTTGGCACTGTTGAGTGCTGCCATGCAGAATCTGGGCCTGAGTCAGATCAGGGTAAACACTTTCTTACCTGTATAATGGACATAACAGATAGATGCTAAGGAGCTAGTGAGCAAATAAATATCACATCCCTAACACTGAACTTGGCATTGAATAAAGCCTCCAGAAAGAAAAACTTCCGGCAGTGCTATTGATGTTTCCGTGTGGCTGTTTCCATTTCTAACCTATGCCACAATGGACACTTTTGGAGTCCATTTCCTTAGAGGATTTCTTAGAACACAAACCTACAGTGAGGTGGTGACATACATGAGCACCTCTGGATTTGCAGGAGTCTTCCACAGCAGGACTCACTCCAGAAAGGTCTCTTAAGGTGTCTGCTAGCCAGTGTCCTGTGGGCTCCAGGTTTCTCACTGCTGTAATGTGCAGAGGTGGAAAGGCCCCTGGAGTCTGAGGGAAAAGTCTGCGTTGAATCTTTCGGTCACCTAGAAATCACTCTTGGGTTCTCCATTATGATCCTCACTGTCATCATTGTGATATTTCCAAAGGTCAGGAGAGCAGACATTCCGGAAGGGGTAAAGGCAGGATGGAGTCACTTCAGCCTGTAGTTACACAGAAATAAAGGTTGGCAGGAGGAAGTCGCTTGACGCCTAGAGCCCTGCTTCCTGGGCTGCTGCTGCCTTGAGCGGCCCAGGAAAGATGGATGCTAAATCAAGCCCCTCTCTGCACAATCCTCCTCCTCTTTCTTCTCATTTTCCTGTCTTTGCTGTTCCCTGTTCCTCCCTCCTTCTGGAGCATGGAAGCTTCCATTTATTTCTCCCCTGTTTTCCTAGACATTTCTCTCCCATCTCCGGTCCCTTTCACTAGAGTGACATCTTGAGCCTGATCCTGCTGCATTTAAAAAAAAAAAAAAAAAAAAAAAGGAAAAAGAAATTTCTGCCTCCAATGAGCCCTTCAGTTCTGATCTCCACGGAGATGTGGCAGATGGCAGAGCCTGAGTGAGCGGCAGCAGCCCCCCCATTCCAGGCCAGGGAGCTGCCAGGGCTAGTAAATGGGCTAGTTATGTGCTTCTCTACACTTGTGCACCCCTACTTGGTGCTCGCCCAAACCAAAAACACTGTCATGTCCTATAAAAATGACCTGGAGGGGTGCATCCCCTCTCTAGCCGTTTCTCAGTCCCTCTAGGAGGCATCTACATAGCCACTAAATTTGGAACTCATCCATGAGTGAGACTTCCTGACCCAAGTCCTGTGTATCCCATGTCCTCAGCCCTTCCAGGATACAGCAGAAAGGACCCACATAGGAGCCATCAGAGAACTCACCACGAGGCTGAGCAGACAGTCTTCACCCTCAAGAGTCCCATCCTAGGCAGGGCCGTGTTTTATACACGAAGGGGGTACCAGCAAGGGACCCTGGGCCTGTCCAGGCTGATGAGCTAGTAGTAATGCTCATGGAGCGTGGAGAGGGCTAAGACTCAAACCAAATGGTTTCAAACATGTTGGCTGGGTAGAGCCTTGTCCTGAGCAGAGAAAGAATTTGGTCACCTTGGAGACCATTCTTTCCCAAGTGAGTGAAGATGATGTAGGTGGCCAAGGAGAAAGGGAAATGGCTGAGTTTGACCAGGGCCCAGCTGGGAGGCCTGGAGTGGGGTTGAGAGTGGCTAAGCAGGGTGGGAGAACACCCAGGCCTAGAGTGTGTTGGTGGGGGCTGCACTCTGACTGTCAACTTGCCTCCTAAACAAAGACCCTCAGAATTGTGTATTGTTAGTGGGTAGAGGCCTGGAGGCACATACAGCTCATGCTGGAAGGGTCTTCTCAAGAGCCAGCAGAAGTGGGATCTGGACCCAAGGAGCTACACGATGCAAAAAGGGGCCATGGTTTTTATGTGCTTTGTAAAAAAAAAAAAAAAATACAACAACTTCTGGCCTTCCCTAAGGTTTTTTTTTCTTGCATATTCTTCCTGGAGCAAGGCATGATAAAGTCCATGGCCACCACCCTCCAAGCATCATGACTGTAGTGTGCATAGTTGTAGTCTGTGTCCCTGTGCTAAACATATTTTCAGATACTTTACCCATTCTAAGAGAAACCTTCTGAGAGGGAAAGAGCATCCCCATTCCATGGGTAAAGAAATTCAGATACAAAGATGTTCACCAACCTATCTGAGGTCTGCAGTGAGGATATGTCAGAACAAGAATTTGAATTCAAGCCAGGCATCAGTGGTACAAAACTTTAATCCCAGCACTTGGGAGGCAGAGGCAGGCGAATCTCTGATTTTGAGGCCAGTCTGGTCTTCAGAGCATTCCAGGATATCCAGGGCTACATAGAGAAACCCTGTCTCAATCCTCCCCTCCCCCCCCCAAAGTGGAATTTGAATTCAGGCAGCCTGGCTCCAGAACTGATTCTCCGCTGCTGGGCTACACAGCCTGCCTTGTGCAGGGGAAGCCCACCCCCTCCCCCCTCGATTTCTTTAGAGGGGGGGGGGGGGGGCGGCTGAGTGACAACATCTCAGAACTGGCCACATTGGCATGGCACTCACTACTGGTGGGGCCAGTCCTTCCAGCCACAATGTGAGCAGGTATGGTTGGAGGAAAATCACTTCACAGAGCCCAGGGAACTACAGCAAAATCACCTGACAAGTAAGACTGTTCTCTTCAGCCATGCATCGGCTCTACATAGCTTTTCCCTGACTCCTGGGAGCTCCAGCTTCCCTGGCACCTTGGAGACTGTTCTTTCCCGAGTCACAAAATGAGTTCAAGTGAGGCTTCCTGGAATAAAGAGGATGGCAAGAGCTATAAGATTTATTTATCTTACAACTGATGGTCCTAGGCTGGATCCCAGCCATCACCATTCCCCATGAACTCACTTGTTTGCTTGTTTGTTTTTAAGATTTATTTATTTTGTATGTAGCGTTCTACCTGCGTGTATGCCTGAACTGCAGGCCAGAAGAGGACACCAAATCTCATTACAGATGGTTGTGAGCCACCATGTGGTTGTTGGGAACTGAACTCATGACCTCTGGAAAAGCAACCTGTGCTCTTCATATCTCCAGCCCCTCACTGGTGGGTTTTTCAGACTATTCTAGAGAAGACAATGTAGTCCATAAGGATGGGCAGGAAGTGTGCCGACACTGATGCTGTGTTTCTTCCACTGTCCCCGCTGCAGGAATGACGAAAGGGTAGCCACTCCTGGTCCTACTGAGAACGAAGGTATTCACAAAGACAGCACGCACAGCACAGCCAGCTGCTGTGATCTCACACGCAGATCTGGACGTGCTAAGGTGCTGGGGCAGCTTCAGACTACACTCCAAGGAGAGTACCACCCAGACCATTTAGATGGGGTCTCCCAGGCCCTGTCTCAGGGAACCTCCAGGGTGATGGCAGAGAGCAATGTGTGCACTCTCTGCTGAGTCTATCAGAGATGTCCACGTTTTCTAGGAGTCCCAAAGTTAACAGACACACAGCATTGTCGATACGGGCCAAGTCAGGATCAGGCTGGAACATCAGGAGAGGACAGTATTAGGGGACCCCTTTTGTAAAGCTAAACCCAGAAGCTCCTGTTCTGTAGCTCTGGAGGGGAACTCAGGTGGGGAAGGGGTGGGCACTGAGCTTCACACACTCTGGAGTGGCTCCCTCTCCTGTTTTGACTCCAGCCCCTGGCATCACATTGACCCCGATAGAAGAGTTCCTCTGAGGGGATGGCGCCAACGCGAACCAACATCTCTTCTCCGGGTCTCCCGGCCCAGTGGAGACCAGCTGGAAGTTCGAGAGGCTTTATTAAACAATATTTGTGGAGTGAATAAGTACGACGGAAGAACAGAAGGGGTATTAACGGATGATGTCCACATGGGCTATAAATAGCTCTGCTCACGAGCCTAGGTTTCAGTCTGTCCTTGCTGGGGCTTGGCAGGCTCTGGCCTGGCTGGAGCTCATTTTGACATCACAGGAAGGAGTCCTCAAACCGCATGACCCCTCTGCAGCCCACCTAAGTGACCCTTTTCCACTGTCCACACCTAGGACAATGACACTGAGGAGAAACTGTTGTAATGGCATAGCTTTCTTTCTGTAGCTACAGAGGTGCCCCTATTTCTATAGCCAGACCTTTGGAAAGAAATCCGAACCATGCTTTTACCTCCCCAAAGGCAGGGCCAGGGTCCCATAAACAGGTCATGTGGGTCCTGCTCTCACCTCAAGACCAACACTGACGGCAGTAGGCTTCAGAGCCTGGACTCAGTTTCCCAAGGATCTTTTCTGCTCCAACCAGTTTTCTGCTCCTTCCCATTGTCCCAGCTGTGCCCTATATAGACCATGTCAGAATTCTGGCTGTGCTGGCTCTTCCATGCACTCCGTGGCCACCACAATGGGAGGCATGGGAGGCAATGCCAGCTCCCAGAGGGCCAAAATGCTAGCCACTCCTCTGCTCTGTCAACAGTGCCCCCTCCCATCACCAACCCCCTTCTGCCTTTGGACTTCCAAAGCAGTGTTGTTGCAGGTAATTAAAGGGTTTTAATTAAATTAGGATCCCATCTGGCTGGGATCAGTCAGGCCCTTAACGAGGATTGTGTGTCACTAACATCAGAATGTGTATGGGGACTTAGACATGTGAGGACTGAATTTGGGACCTGGAGGTCCTTCAGACAGGGGCAGAGTATCCTGAGTTCCCTGGGGTTCCCTGAAAAGCAGAAGCAGCTTGTACCATCTCCAGAAGTGAGGCTAGGGAAAGAGGAGATAAGCCCTTCCGTTCTTGCCCAGGAGTCTATACACATTTCTGAGATGTGTTGAGATGTGCGGGCATTGCCTCAGTTTCACAGATGAGAAGACCAAAATCTGCAGGGAAGTTCTCCAGCACTAGCTACAGTTTCAAGAAATGAAAGCCCTTGGGTATGCCAGAACCTGCCTTTAATCCCAGTACTCAGAGAAAGAGGCAGGAGGATTGGGGGCAGTCCTGGAGTTCAAGGCCAGTTTCTAGCTTACAGCCAGGCCAGGCTAGCCTGGCCTGCATGAGAACGGATTTTAGAAAGAAAAAAAAAAAAAAAAAAAAAAAAGAAAAAAAAGAAATAGAGCCCTAAAGCAGAGGCTTAAAGACGGCAGGAATTTCCTTTTCCTCACATACAGAAGTCTGCAGGCAGTTTGGGGCTCTCGGGGACCGTGTCTCCATCCAACTTATCGCCCTCCCCCTTCTCTGTGCACTTACACTGGAGTCTGACGGCAGCTAGGGCTGTGGCCACATCCAGACTGCTGGGTGGATGACGAGATGAAGAAGGAACAAAGGACGAACACCTCTGCCTTAAGATGCCGGAAACTTACAGTATAATCACTTGGCCTAAAGGTCATTGGCCAGATCTCAGGCACATGGCCACGTGCAGAAGGCCGGGAACGTGGGGTGGGAGCAGAGAAATGTAGGATTATGCTAGACAGCTGTGTATCCAACTAACAAGCGGGGACCCCATTCCTAAGAAGACAGGGGAAATGGCTAGTGTATTGGTTCTCTTGTTTCTATGACAACAGCAAAAAAGTGATACAAATGAAGGAAGGGTTTGCTTGTTTGTTTGTTTACTTAGTTTGGCTCCCGGTTTGAAGAGACACAGTTCATCATGGCAGGGAAGGGATGACATGAGGAGTGTGGGGCAGCTGGTCACATTGCATCCGCAGAAAGCAAAGAGATAAACACCGGTATTCAGCTTCTTTTTCTTAACAGTCTAGGACTCTCGCCCATGGGATGGTCCTTCCCACATCCAGGACCAATCTTCTTCCTTTAGTCAAATCTTTTGGAAACACAATGGTAGAAGTGTGGCCCCTATACTGTTCTAAATCCAGTCAAGTAGACAAGGCAGATAAACCACTGCATATCTTGTAGCCATTTCTGCTGCGGGCATCATGGAACAGAAGGAGAGCAGGGATTCACGTCTCTCCCTCCAACCTTGGGCCCTCTTGCCCAACCACACAGAAGGGAGGATGAACTATCACAGAAACCTATCTCCAAGCACAAGAGGAGAGGTAACTTAATTTCCCCAGCAGTGTACCAAGATAGGGAGAACTTTCACTTTTCAAATAAGGTGGCTCACTAAGTGAGGCAGCACACACCCTTGTTCCCAACACTCAGGAGGCAGCAGCAAGTGAATCTCTGAGATCGATGTCAGTCTGGTCACTTAGCAAGTTCCAGGCCAACCAAGGTTAGATTATGAGACCCTGCCTCAAAATATTCAAATCAGCCAGGCAGTGGTGTTGCATGCATGCCTGGAGAGCACAGAGCACTCAGGAGGCAGAGGCAGGTAAATCTCTGTGAGTTCGAGGCCAGCCTGGTCTACAGAGCAAGTTCCAGGATAGCCAAGGCTACACAGAGAAATCCTGTTTCAAACAACAAAGCAAAAATTCAAATAAAGAGGTGCTTGGAGGTGGTCCTTTGTCCAAGGTCATCCGGACAACCCATCTCTGATGGGGACTGGCTTGAGTTCCTTCCACAGCCTGTAGCCAGTTCCTCGCAAGCCTCTGTTGTTCAGGAGGAATTGATATGGTCCTTGGGACACCTAGCTAGGTGGCTCTGAGATAATGAACTGAGAACTCCTGAGCTCCACAAACTTGACTCTTAATGCTTGACAGGTCACAGGAAGCAAGGTCCCTGGTGGAGCCAGAACTTAGCCCCTGATGGGCAAATTGCGGGTCTCTTGTGGCAT